GTCATACTAAATCAAATTTAGTCGCAATAAAATATAACACAAATAAAGTCTACACATTGAGTATACATACTGAAGTATACACACTGAATGGGCAGAACATCAGGAAAGTATACACAGCTGATCAGCGAAGAAAGTTTGGCAATTGTTCAACAAATTTATCGTTTCACAGCTCGCGCAGGGAGCCCGGGAGACCATTCCAAGTATCAATAGTGTGAGGAAAAAAAGAAAACTTGAAGCAATCAATACATGACTTCAAAGGAGCTATGTCAAGGTGTGATTTCTCCTTGTGATTCGAGAAGAAGGGTTAGTGAAGGTAATGGGTGCATCAATAAATGTTTCCCCATGAGCGATCCTATGCATTAGGACAAGACGGTCACAAGTGCGTCGGAGAGCCAAACTTTTTAGCTGTAATTCATTAGCATATATTGTAGGTGAAAAATTACGATCATAACGCTTACATATAAATCTGATGGCTTTTTTCTGAATATAGTCAAGCATATTTATGTCATTGGCATGATGCGGTGCCCATACGACAGACGCATACTCTAGGAGAGGCCTTATTAGAGATCTGTATGCTACTAGTTTACATCCCCTAGTTGCATCCCGAAGGTTTCTCTTTAGGTAATGCAGCTTTCTTAACGCCTCATTTGATATATTCAGAATGTGTTACGACCCTCAAGCGAAGGTTGACAGTAATTTAAATAAATAAATAAATAAATAAATAAATAAATAAAATAAGGGCATGCCATTTCAAGTCCGGAGTAAAAGTAACACCAATGTATTTGCAAGTGTCTACACTTTCGAGCTTGTAGTTACAACCAAAATATGAAAACTTTAACGGATGCTTTTTTGGGGCGAAGCTCCTTAGGGCGTGGGCTGTGCGTCCCCTGTAGCCTGTATGTAGCCACCTCTAGTTTAGTTCTTGCAGTGTTCACTAGATGGCGGTACCGTCCCCTGTATGTAGCCACTTCTAGTTTAGTTCTTGCAGTGTTCACTAGATGGCGGTACCGTCTCCTGTATGTAGCCACCTCTCGTTTAGTTCTTGTAGTGTTTACTAGATGGTGGTACTTGTAGCTGATGATGAAAAGATGCAAGATGTTATAAACTAGAAAGCGGTACTTGTAGTTGATGAAAGACGCGAGATCTTATAAAATAGGAATGATGTCACATATGGCGCGTGTCATTGGTTGAAGGCAATCGTTCGATTTAGTGCGGCGACGTACGCTAGGGGGAGCGTTGTAATAAAATCCGTTCGCTGTTGGCGCGCGCTCGGAGTCACCGGATGGATAAGGCTGCACAGCGGAGAGAGCGCAAGGCGGCAGCAGCGCGCGCTCGCAGACAGAATCCCGATGTGCGAGCGCGCGAGGCAAGGGACATCGCAAGCCATCCATCGTCTAAGAACAAATAAAAGTTGATTTGTGTATATACACACACAGCGTTTCTCACGTCTTTACATGATGATCGACTGGGCGAATTACACGGAAGATTCACAGTTTACCAATGAATCCATCCGGAGCTTTGCCCATTCATCATCATTCACCCCGTGTATATGCCGTAATTTTTTTTATTTGAGAGAGTCATTAAGACTGTTTTTTGAAGTTTAGTGACATCTGCCATGTCTTACTCCACTCGCAAAAACGGTCGAAAACTATATTTAACTGCAACTGATCTGCAGTGCTAGTCACATCATATTATATGACACCGTCATCGGCATAAAGTCTCAATTTCACAGAAGTCCCAGCAGCTACTGTAACGACGTCGTTTATATAGATGATGAAGAGCAATGGACCCAGTACCGATCCTTGTGGTACACCGGATGTGACACTGACCTGAAATGAGTGAGCACGATTAAATGCAACAAATTATGTTCTTGAGCTCAGACAGTCCTGTATCCAGTCTGTAAGTTTAGTGTCATGAATTAGTTCCTTGATTTTAATGAGAAACTTATTATGGCATACTGTATCAAAGGCTTTCCTATAGTCAATGAAGATGGCATCAAGCTGTCCTCTGGCATTAAGTGTGGATGCAATATCGTGGGAGAATTCTAATAATTGTGTCACCGTCGAAAAGCCAGGACGAAAGCCATGTTGAGCATGTAAGAGAATATTCTGTTCAGACAAGTACTCGATGATATGTTTATAGATGATGTGTTCCAGTAATTTACAGGACGTTGATATTAATGAAATTGGCCTATAGTTGCACACCACCTGTTTCTTGCCATCCTTTTGTATGGGAACGACCTTGGCGCACTTCCAGAGTAATGGGACAGTAGATGACTCAACAGACTTTGAAAAAATGACTGATAAATACCGAGAGGTCCATTCAGAATAACGTTTCAAAAACATATTAGGTATACCATCTGGCCCGGCGCTTTTCGTTGTATCAATTTTGAGTACAAGGATACGAACGCCCGCAGTAGTAATTAGCATGCTTGGGGAAGGTTGTGAAGATAAGTTAGTAAAAAATGTGGGACTACACCCATCACCACGTGTGAACACTGATTTAAAATAGTCATTAAATGCTTCAGAAATGCTAAGATTGTCAGAGCATGGTTTATCAGATATAATAAATGAGGAAGGACTGCTCTGACATGGGGGATTGATGGCTTTCCAAAACTTTGACGGCTTGTCTTTCATGAACGACGACAAAATATTATTAAAATAGAAGCTTTTCGCGCTTGACATAGCAGATTCAAACTACTTTTCAGTTTAGGTAACACAGAATATTTTATTGGATTGCCAGATTTGAATTTTTTACAGCATCTGTATTTTCCATAATTCTTTTTTTTCTCGACCACTTGTAAAGAGTAGAACGGCTTTACTATCGACACTTCACACACACGAAAAAACCCAAAAAACAATCAAGGGTGTTTTGATCTATCTATCTATCTATCTATCTATCTATCTATCTATCTATCTATCTATCTATCTATCTATCTATCTATCTATCTATCTATCTATCTATCTATCTATCTATCTATCTATCTATCTATCTATCTATCTATCTATCTATCTATCTAGGCGCTTACGTCTTGGCACTGTCGAGATCACCCCCTTAACTTCGCGTGAACCAAAACACCAATGGGAGGGTAAGATAGATGGTTCGACGGACAGGACGCGCTCGCCAAGACACGAATAACGCCACAATCATGTCGCTTACGTCGTCAAACACTTTCCGCCAGACAGTTGCACATACACGCGGGCGGGTATGCGCCAGTGGTGTGCTTGTATGTGCCACAGGTGATTGACATTTGGTGTCGACCCAACATCGACGAGAACACACATGGGCGATTTCAACACGTGAGTGTTCAGAAAAACCTGACATTGGCAGCGTTGACCCCACAAACGCAAAGAATAAAAGTCAGGGTACCCGCAGGAATTGAACCCAAGAACTCTGCGTGCCCATGAAGCATTGTACCGCAGAGCCACGTCTGGTCTCGGAACTACTTTTGAAATAGACCCTAATGTTCGTGGAATGCAAATTGTGGTTGCAGTGCTGGCTTTCCAATTTTATAAACATTCCATAGGTACTCCTATAATACAGCCGTCACGTTGGGCTAACATCAATTGCAGTTAGGTGCAATCCGCAAAAGTTTATTTATGTAGCAGCGTCAAGGGCTGCCATCCTAGCGAGCACCAGTGCTTCACAGCAGCTTCATAGCATTGCTAATATTCATGTTCTTCTTTGCATCGTTGCGCAAGTGCAAACAACTAGTTATCTAAATATCTGCAACTCTTCGACATATTTCTGTGCTTACAACATTAGGGCCCTTTCTTGACGTGCCACTCAAAAAAAAAATTACACCATGGTCACCTTCGCTCCACATTCCACGCATAGCGTCGATTCCCAAGGTACGTGAGATCTGCCGAATTTGTTTTTCTAAAGTGCACGTTCCTGCTTTGGCGCTGTGTGTAAAGATGGGAATGTACCAAACCAGCCTTGATGCGACTGCCACTACCGAGATCACACAAACGACCTTCCGTTCGGCTGCACGACGTACGTGCGCCTTGTGCATTGTGTTCTCCTCTTTCTTGCAGTGCTCTCACGTCCCAGCTTTTTGGTAAAAATGTCCCATGTAAATGCCACATTGTTTGGGCTACCACAGTGGTAACAGTTGCAAAGGGGCAAACTCAGTGGTGAGTCGTTCATCAAGATTGGAAACACTTGAACCTTGTTTCAGGCGCCTGATTTAAATGATGACGGGGAAATTCGAAGATGATATGCAGAAAGTTTATTTGGGATTCGGATAGCACATTGACAACCACTTCAATTGATACTCTATCTTTGTTCTATTCATAAGATGACCGAGGCATGCGATGCTTGGCAGTAGAATTTTCACTGACCTTTTGTATAATAGATAACTGTGCACAAGTTATAAAATCAATTTCCATCCAAAATTTATTATTGCCAAAAATAGCACGAGCCTAAACCATAAAAAAAACATTCTTATTTTATTGCAGGAGATACGATAGAGCAATGCATTGCATATATAAGGTACGGTGGCTCATATCGTACATCTACAAAAAATTTCCGACACACGAACACTTTATACCACCTTCCCCTTTCTACATTCGCTACCCCTTCCTATATTCGCTAGTGAGACGGTCAGAAACAGAGACAAAGAATTTTCTTAAGTGGCTGCTTGTGAGAGCCAAGGATCCATAAGAACATGAGAGGATCAAAATGATTTGGCTAATCTCCCCGTCCTTTCTCTTCTCTTCTAAAAGTTGAAACCTTAAAATATTTAAGTACGTGCGCTTTGCTTCACCAAGTCTAGTTTTAATAATTTATAATTAAGTCTGAACAAGAAATTAGTTGATAGAGGATGTTGGAAATTGTGAGAAATAGCACGATAAGGAACATCCCTTCGGCTAACGTTTGCAATGCAGCACTGTCTCCGAAGTCTATTTGTCCAATGGATTACTCCAGCGGGTTCACTTGTTGCGAAAGAGCCTTATATCATGAATTATGACTTCAGAAAGCTCACCACAGCGGCTCACCTCTAGTGGAAGCGCATTTTCAATTGCGCTGCCAGGCAGACGCTCATTGGTAGCGCGACAGAGGATCCGGCGGCCGTGGTCGTCAGCTCCAGGCGTGAAGGCAAGCAAGCTGCTCGTGTGGCCGCTCGACTCGTCAACGTTGACCACACTGCGTGTCATACTGCGGCTGCCCATCCACCAGCTCAGGTTCGCGGCCGGTCTCGAGCCCCATGAATCACAGCGAATATGCGCCGCTCGCTCTGCGACGAGGACCGTTCCCGGTGTAGCGATGGCAACCCTCAAAGGGCGCACTGCACAGTGATGAAGCAGTGGGCTTGTAAATGCATTGACGACGTAAATTGAATAACAGAAACGAAACATCTGCAGGAAAGGTAAAGGAAGGCTAACAGGCTTGTTGAGCGATAAATTCCAGATGCGGCACGAAGAACCTTACGGAAAACACCCTGAAAGTGCCACCCCGTGGGTCCAGTTAACGAGGGGCATCACCAGAGCAACTGTTCTGGATTTCACGTCCCTCGCACTTAGGGCACTGTGCGCTATGGTCATATGAAAATAAGCCGTGCATGAAAGGCAGACTGGTAAATGGATGGGATCGGGAAACGATGCGAAGCATCCCCGGAACAAAGACCAGTGAAAAAGGCGCATAGGTTTCAAAATTAAGAGCACGGAAATTATAAAATCTGTGAAGGGAAAGAAAGCCTGTTGGTACATATTTTAGTGGAAGTAATCATAAGGTCAAAACCTTATGATTACTGAAAGAGCAGAAATATCCGACATGACATGTCTGTCTTCTTACAATTCATATCAAGGATGATGCTCGCTTCTTCCTCGTCTTCGCCACTCCGGGCCTTGCAGATTATGCGAGCCATGAGATAACTCCGCTGCAAAAAGTCGATATGCAGAACACTCCCGGAGGCTTCCCCTTCAGCCGTGCTTGCCGACTCATTGTTCTTGAGCATTCTAGCATCTTGCCACCAGGATAGTAAAGGAGGAGGGCGTCCTGCAGGAGTAGAAACTCGTCAATCGAAAATAGGTGATTTTTACAAAAATATTTCTTAGTCACTGCTGTTTGTAAGCCTGACGCCAGTGATCTGAGTGCTTCCTTGATTTTTCGCTCAAAATGTTTTATTGTGCATAAAGAAAGCACACTCACTACGTGTGGAGCATCTTGAAAAAAAGAAGGACAAGTTTTGCACGCTCTCATGTTTTATCCTACATCGATGACATTAGAAACTATGAATTTGTACTTTATTTATTATATTACTAATACAGTCGAAGCTTGATTTACGACGTAGATAATATGGACGCATTGGTATATTTAGAAGTTGTTGTATTTGACAGTGCAATTCATATTAGTCAGAGACTTTTTCATTCGAAGTGCGACAAGAATGCTCGAAAATTTAGGCACTACACAGAGCTAATTTGATAACTATTTTGTTACCATGTTTGTTCAAATCGATCACCTGTGAACGACGCTTTGGATTGTCAATTTTTGCACCAAGCTTTTTCTAGTAGTTATTTCAGCCACTTAACTCTCAGAATCACTTTATTTCCTCGTTTTTACCAGACGTCGATTTTTGAAAGACCTTTACTCGAACCAATGTGTGCGTATTGGAAACATTCTCTTGGCCAGGAAGCTTCACAGAAGTGCGTGCCTCTTGTGGGACTGCTTCAGTAACATTATAACTCTCTATATAGAAAATCTTTGCAAGTCAAATATGAAATAAGGTGTCGCCTTCGCAATCTGACACTGTTAAGAAAAAATAATTTTAAGATATCTATGCTAGCCAAGGAATATACATGTATTGTTAGGAGTCAGTAAAGATTTATTATACAAAAAATATTTCCGAAGGTCCACCGCACACCAAAAGTGTGCAGGTGGTCTTCTCAGCCAGTTTCCGTCAACATTGGTTTCTCTTGTAACGTTATATCAGACGCCGGTCTGCATCTAGTGTCATAGTCGCTTCTATGGCAGCGTCGCCACACGCGCGTGGATGCCCCCCTGCGTTGCAAAAAACAACCATCACTCGAAAGTGTCTTGCAACAGCACCCACCTGAATTGAGTGCGAGGATGACCGCACCTCGGCTTCAAGTTCAACCGCAGCTCAGCTGGCAGTGCATCATACGCCTTATTTGAAGGTCGCACGTTCGCTTACTACCGGGGCCAGCTATCTTTTATTTCTTTATTTTTTTCACACTTACGACACAATTATTACACACGACATCCCATATAGATTTTTGGTATGACTGTCTGATAGCTTATGGTACACCAAGAACATTTATATATTGACGTTTGTTATATCTAGAATAAGTGTTTTTCTAGAGACATATTTATTGTTTTTGTATCCAATGGCAAAAGCAAAGCACCTCATTCAATACAAATGCGCAAAACTAGCTGAGTGAAGGCATCTTACAAGAAACGTGCAGTGACACCTTTGATGCACATCTTAAACCCTAGATTAGGGACTCAGAAAACTAAATAGCGATACCTTACTTTATTATATACGTAAATAATGTTCAATTATTCCATTTTGATTCTAAAGTCAGCTCCTTCACTTTATGCATGACCGGTCAGTCATCAATCGTGCCGGGATGTTTTAACCGGATACACCGTATGAATTATAACGGATGTTTCAGCTCCAGCACCTGTCTTTAAGGCAATAATTATACCATTTTCAGGCCCCACAGTAGCCAGCTAACACTACCTCAAACACCGTGTTCATTTCTTATATCAATTGGTATACATAAAGAAAGCAACAACTTTACCTCACACGATAGAATGATAAAATATTACGTGCGATTCCATTCATGCTGGATCATCAACAGTCAATCGACTATTTTACCACGTTCGATCCCGTGTTCTCTTCCGCCGGGTGTAGTGTTATAGTTAAGCAACATTCACGGGATTTCCGAGCACAATTTTATAACACTTGTGTTTTCGTGTATTCCAATATGATTCTTATTTGTGCTAGTGTTGGTTAAATGGTCGAATTCTATAACGGTGCCGTGATCCGCCCCCAGTTCTCCGTGGGCTTCTCTCAAGTTGCGATTTTTTGTAGTCCAACCTTCCTTTCTTTGTATTTTGCGAAAAATGGCATGCATTTTACTGACGTTGCTCTTAAGCGAGCCAATCACTACTGTACGCTTTACCACAGTGTAAAGCCGTCAAGCTAGTCACGCTGTTGATCCTATAGAGCCCTAACAAGGTTAAGCTGTGCATATTTACACAATAGAGTAATTTGTTTTCCTTCAGGCGGACAGCTGTGAACTTGCTCCTTTACGAAGGGCGCACGAGATTGCGAAAGGGATGCACAGGGACTTCATGACATCTTAGTATGGTGCAGTGCTCGAGCGCGTTCCGGGCACTCGGTCTACGCTACACACCCCTCCGGTTCAGGCTCCGATACCGTGGGCAGTGCAGAAGAGGTCCAGTGGGTCACCGTCGTTGAAGGGCCCCACGGTCCCCTGCATCTCCGCGCCGAGCTCGTCCGTGATGCTCACGTTGTGCGGTGACACTGCAGACAAGACGAGAGAAAGAGACTATTGGGAAAACACAGATTTCTGCCAGCGTTCATATAACGCTGGTATGCATCCTACAAAAACTATTTACAATTACGGTATCACGTAGAGCAAGACTTTCCTAAGTGAGGTATCCCGTTGTCGACAAGACTAATTTCGACCAGGTAATTCATTAATCACCATAGGATACGACGCTGTTCTGAAGGTCTGCGCACTGGGCCTAATATGTTGAGAAGCGTTAACTGATTTCGCAAATCATGCGCATTTCTCGTTAAAACAAAAATAAACCTTCACCCAACAGTCACTGGTCGACAAAGCATGCAGCGGTCTCCCCTTTTTATATACCCCGTGTTTCTGCGTTTCTCAGACGAGGCTGCCGAAGAAAAACGAGCTGCACCCAATCAGAACATCTTTTTGTTTAGGAACATGTGCCGAGGTCGGTGCATTTCGGGTCGCCTGAACACTTATTTCATTAGGCTGCCGGGGAGAGAAACAGGGGACTTTCGGGCTCGTTATTTAACTTCCCCGGATTCTTTTTCTCTTTGTTTGTGTAGGCGTGCATCTCCGCGCAAGCAAAACTGCAGAGTAGTAGCGGATTTTGTTTCCCTTCGCCTTTCTTGGGGACATCAATCTGTGCTGGTGCTGAAGCCCGTAGTTTGGGAATCAAGTTGGGAGAAATCATCGAAGGTGAAAGTACAGAGCAGAAAAAAACTTCAAAAGACAATAATATTGCTCACAGGCTTGAGTTTACAATTTAGGTAAATCTTTGTAAACAATGTTAGAAGACTGAATATGCGCAAACAGCACCCAACGAGTGATGGCAGGGGCGCAGGCGCTGGCCGTTTAAAAGAGAAGTGTCTACATTCCCTTGCTTCGCGTTTGTTTTAAACCCGCTGCTTTCCCCTCCCACACTTTCGCTGTTCATGAATTTCAGCCAACATCTCTTCATAGGATAACTGTCTCTCTAACCTCTCCATTGTCTTCCCCCTTTCTGAAGCCTCTGTATCTGCTATCCACTCAAGAAGACCTGCTTGTCATGCTTCAGACAATCCAAGTGCCTGCCCGCTCCGACAGAAATTCGAAACAGCCAATGCTACTTGAACAAGCGACAAAAAAGGCAAACACAGAGTGACAGAGGCTTGCCATCGCAAGTGCTTGTGAACTCGAGACAAGGGTCCCACTCTTCGATCGATGCACGCTTCGGGACACGTCGTCACTGGAGGCGCGCGACACGGCGCGCGTCAGGCGTTGCGCATTGAGACAAAAAGTTGCGCCCTGGAGCAGAAAAACGGTGCTCTTCGTGGCAGGAGGAGACGCTTTCGAATCAGAGACGGAGGGAGGGGGTGCATTATTTCCGCCATCGTGTCAAAATGGGAATGTCGCCCAGCCCATGGCGCACCAAATGGCGTCGTCTTTTTATGTTGTTCATTTTTTTCTGTGAAACTCACTCAGCAATCTGACACTGTGCATCGGTCTCGCTCGCTCCTCTGTTGCATTCGTTGGCAGGAATGGTAAGCGCGACGCAGCCTGATTCTCTGCACTCCGAGTGAATAGTTCGACACATAGCTCAGTATGAATAATGGACCTTGTCAGTCACTCATCTCTGCCTGGAGAGAGCAATGCGACGTTTAGAAAATACTCCGTCAGCGTGCTATTCTACTCATTGACACCATCAGCGTCTGCCAAAGAAGTGTGGCGAAATAAAAGAGTGCCAGTGGTAAGCGACAAACTTGGAGTAACTTTGCACATTCCAGACGAAGCCAAACTTCGAGACGGATACGATGCATGACAGCCTAAGCTATAGTCTCTGATTAGGGCACAAATAAACCCGCAAATATTTAAATGCGTAGTATTTTTGCTATAGTAGTTCAGAATAAACGTCCGAAAATCACGTTATCATTATGACAGACACTGTAGTGGAGGGCTCCATAAATTTTCACCGTCTAAAGTTATATATTTAACTGCATCCTAATCCAAATACTCAGGTCTTGTTCAATCTAACCTCCATCTAAAATGCGGCCGCCACTACCAGGATTCAATCCCACGACTTGCGGGTGAGCAGTCCAGCGTAGCATATTAGGCTCACCTGTGCTAGGTGCAAGCAACTTCAATTAAAACAAAAACGGACATTTTTTTGCCTAACCTATCTTTGTTAAACTAAGTTGAAAACAGTACAAAAAAATTGCCCGCAGCTTCCCTCGGGGGAACACTGAGGAGGATGCGGAGCATATAATTGGTTAACGGGGTGTTAAAGTGCGACTTACTTAGGTCGATGGCTAAGTTGGTTAACGTGGTTGTGAAATGGGGTGTTAAATTGCGACTTACTTGGGTCGATGGCCAAATTGGTTAACGTGGTTGTCGGAGGGGGTGTTAAATGAGTGAACACGTACACACGTATGCGAAAGGGCGGCGCTGGTCGAAGGGACGTCGATCATTGTGTTTGTGGATTCGTTGGAATTCATTTCACCGCGGCCTTGGACGTCGACGCGCCGTACAAACCAACCGACGAGCGGCAACTGAGCGAGCGAGCGCCGACCTTGAGTATATATACAGCGCGACGGCGCATGCACTGTCAGCTGTCGAATGTTCGAGAAGGGGGAGAAGCGCAACGGCGCATGCGCGCGTCAGCTGCCGATGTTCTCGAAGCGCGACGGCGCATGCGCGCGCGTCAGCTGCCGATGTTCTCGAAGCGTGACGGCGCATGCGCGCTACATTATACAGCTAGCGAATGTTCGTGAAGAGGAGAAGCGCACGTGGGTTGTAGAGGAGGAAGGGTGCACAGATGGTGGAGGAGTGAAGCGCGCGCGGTGTGTAGAGGAGGAAGGGATGCACAGATGGTGGAAGAAGGAGGAGAAAGCTTGCGGACGGCGCCGCACTACAAGCCTCGAGTATTAGATGCTCCGCATCTAAAAGATATGTCGCATTTGCTTCAGTTCTTTTTCACCGGGCACTCTCATTATTTTTCGAAAGAAAATTCGTAATTTCGGGCATTGGTTGCCAGCCGTAGTAATTGAAAGGCTTTGACTTTGTACTGATATATTCGCAACGGCGTAGCTTTGCTTTTAGAGCAGTAGTGATATACCATCGGAATAACGTGCAAGATCGTGCTTATACTTAGATTAAGGCGTACGGTAAAGAACACCAGTGGGAAAACAATACATTAACGCCAGCCGCGTCCCAATATCTAAATTACGCGCACTTTCCCAGCGGGCAACGGCGCGTTACACTAACAAGAATAAGCCATGACTACACGCGCCTTCGCTGTTCGCGATCGTATGACATACAACTGTGGCCTGAAAATAAATAAGGAAGGCTCATCCTCATTTATTCTCATAAATGGAGCAACACTCTATCAAGAAAGGTAGATCTCTTCATTCTTAATACAAACCTCACTACCAATGACGCTGACGCCGGAAGTTCCATGAAACGAGCTCTATCATTGCCGCGTTAATATACTTTCTGAAAGCAGGGCAGCCAGCTGTCGAAAAATTGCACTGTCGGCTACGAAATACAACCGCTCACACTTCGATCCCTCCGACGCTGCTTATATAACTTTATATGAGGGGTTCCACGTCCCAAAACCACCATATGATTATGAGAGACGCCGTAGTGGAGGGCTCCGGAAATTTCGACCACCTGGGGTTCTTTAACGCGCACTCAAATCTGAGCACACGGGCCTACAACATTTTCGCCTCCATCGGAAATGTCGCTGTCGCAGCCGGAATTCGATCCCGCGACCTGCGGGCCAGCAGCCGAGTACCTTAGCCACTAGACCACTGCGGCGGGGCGGTGCTGCTTACAGATAAAATGACCAGCTGCAGATTAAGGAGTATTTGTGTTCAGCGCGATTCCTGCGTTTTTTTTTTTTTACTGCGAAGCATTTGTTAGCGAACTTCGGTGCCTTTGAGCGAATTTGTCTGTGTCTATTTATCTGCTTACATTTGGAAGCTCTCGGGGTCACCCTCTTGTCGTGAACCAAATTAGCATTGGAGGGTAAAATGGTTTGACCAATATGACGCGCTGGTGAAGACCTCAATAATGTGACAACCCCGTCGCGTACGTCGTCAAACACTTCCATCCAGACAGTGGCACATACCCATGGGTAGGTGTGTGCCGCTGGTATACGGGCATGTGCCACAGGTGATGAACACTTAGCATCGACCCAGGAACGTCGAGAACACACATAGGCAATCTTAACGCGGGAGTGTCAAGAAATACCCCACATCAATAGCGTTGACCCGACGTATGCAAAGAAAAAATGTCAAGGTCTCAGCTGGAATCGAACCCAAACATTTTGCGTGGAAATGAAGCATTTTACCACAGAGCTACGCCAGGTCTCGGAACTACTTTTCAAATAGACGCTACTCTTCGTGAAACGTCAATAGCGGTTGCAGTGTTACCAACCCAACTTTATAAACACAACATATGTACTTGTAGCGCCACGCTAGATTTGGCTAAGTGGCCGCACCGAAAAAGAAGTGAGTTACGTGGCTCGTGTGGCGCGAGCCACGAGGTACGGCAGAACGGCCTATCTTCGGAACCTGGCTGGACGCTGCAGCGGTGACTCCGTCTACGCCTGCATCCCGATTAAAGCCTTGTCCTCGGCACGGGCTCGTCGCGACCGTCTCGCCTCTCCTTCCTCGACATACTCCTTTGACACACCCGTCACGTCGGGTTAGCGTCAATTGTGGTTAGGTGCCATGCGCTTAAGCTGGTTCATGTAGCAGTGTCCAGGGCCAGTAATTTCGCGAGCTTCAGAGCTTTATCTCAGGTTCTGGTGTTGCTAATGCCAATGTTCCAGTTGGCATCGTTGCGCAAGTGCACACAACTGGTTATATGAATATCTGCAACTCTTTAACATATATCTGCGCGTGCAACATTTGTACATATATTTAGCGTCACTTCATGACCTATTGCTGAATAAAAAAAAATGCAACACGGTCACTTTCCTTTCACGCGCTTCGCATAACATCGATTCCCAAGTACGTGGGATCGG